ATTTAAGGAAGAGGTATGCTAGAGAAAATAAAACCAGCCACCTGTAATGACTGATGAATGAATAATACACACACACACACACACACACATACACACACACACAAATTAGTATCAATAGACATTTGAGTCCAAAAAATTAATAAGAAGAAGCCAGATGAAAAAACAGGATTCAAGGACAGGCTAGACCTTCAAAAAATTCTATTTAGTGCTCTCAAAGAGTCAAAAAGATATTACCTAATAAAATAATAGGTTGCTACAGAGAGAGAAGGAGAGAGATCAAGTGCTCATAAAAATTTAAAACATAGTTTCAGAAAAAATTTCATCTGCAGAAAAATAAAACACACTTGCTGGAATCTCAAGATAATGATCTTGGGGTTCAAGTTGAGGAAATTTCTTAGAAGAAAAAACATAGTTTCAGAAAAAATTTCATCTGCAGAAAAATAAAATACACTTGCTGGAATCTCAAGATAATGATCTTGGGGTTCAAGTTGAGGAAATTTCTTAGAAGACAGAATTAAAAGACAAAGAGATGAGAAAGAGAAAAAATACTAATAAGTATAGGAGATAGATCAAAAAGTCCTAAATCCATCTAATAGTAATTTCAGTAGGAGAGAACTAAGATTCAAAAATAGGTGGGGACACTTTTTTAAAGGACTATAATAATATTAGACCAGAACTAAAGAAAAACATACATGTGAAGTGGTTAAAGGCATGACCACTGTCGACAGACTGCCTGGGTTTTAATCCTATTTCCAAAATATGCTATATAGTTCTATAAGCTTTAGCAACTTATTTGCCTTCTCTGTCTCAGTTTACTCATCTATAAAATTGGGACAATAATGTTCCTTTCCTCTGGTTGTGTTTTCAAGCTACAAAGAACTAATTAAAATAAGCAACATTACTGGATGTTTTGATGAAACAACATTTTCAAATTTCTAGGGGGAAAATACTTTGAACCTAGACTTTTGCATTCAAAGTCATTCAATTCATTGAAAAGGCAAAAAGAAGTAATTAGAATTTTAAGATATCAGAAATTTCACCAACCATATAGCTTAAATGCTAATTTTATTGAAAAATATAATGCAGAAGATTGGAAAAAACAAGCAATAATGAAGACAATCAAGAAACAGTGGAACTATGTCTAATCCATAAGAATTAAAGGAAGCTATAAAGAAAAATAAGAGAGTCCATGATACTTTGAATTTAGGATAGTCTGTTTCAAACAGTAATCTTAATGATATAAAACTACATTTCCTGGCCAAACATGCAGATTGCTCCTACAGAGAATAATGTGTACACAACCATAATTTTGTAACTGCTGTTTACTTGTTTTTCATTTTTTACTCAACACAGAAATAAATCACA